TATTAAACAGCAGTAGCGAAAGGATTGCGTAGACGATAAGATATCATGGCTAACAAGATAAAATGAAAGACAGTTTAGTTCTCTAGGCACACCGAATATTATTTACCCTAGAGTTAAATACTAAATTTAACAACAAATAAATAAATAATAAATTATAAATATGAAATATGAAATAATAGGTAATACATAATTAATAATAAATAAATAATAAATTATAAATAATAAATATTAAATAATAAATAAATACAAAATAAATAATAAATAATAAAAGCTTGAATAATAAATAATACATAATAAAGAATAAAATAAATTATTACCGACTATGTACTTGGTATCGTAGAGGTCTCCTGCATTGTGCTACCCTCTGCTAAATCATAAGGAATTGCAGTTTTAATTACTAGAAGGCAACTCGACGCAATTGGATACAAAATCCATTAAAAATTGAAAAAGCCAAGCGACAAGTTGAGCTGAGGCGAGGAAATGTCAAGTCGACATCAACAAAAAATCAACTCAAGTGGCAAGCAGTCAAGAGGAGGGACCAGGACAATACGACGACATTGGGGAGCATAAATAAAGAAACAAATACTACACACAGCAATGAGACTCCTTCAGTCAGTTTTGAGGCGCAACTAATGAGTGACCGAGCAGAAAAAATAAGAGAAGAGTGGAGAAGTGAAGTAAAAGCAAATACAACTTAAGTCCATTGGCACGGCCGAGCACCTTGCTGGTTGGGAATGAATGTCTCAAGTCAACCGGGTCCAGCACCAACACTTATTTTAATGAGAAATTCTAATTTCACCAATAATACAAAAGACCCCGACAGCGAGCAGAAATGCGCAAAAAAATGTGCCAGATATTTGTGCTTACCAGATTGGGGAGCCTGCAACTGCTCTGTGATTGCTTTTTGCCACTCGTCCGTGACGAAAACAAAGAGCCAAGTTCTTAAATACGACCCCCACCTAAGCCAAAACAAAACAGAAGAAATAGCAAACAGCAAAGAGAACGAAAGAAAAAATTGCCTGCCTTAAAAATACTTGAGTAGTATTTGCCAGTCTGCAATTAAATTGAGCCCAAAGCAGAAAATGCACAAGAAGAGCTGAGCCTGGTAATAACCATTTGAGTTACTGTTCAAGAACTAAACGGAGACTCTTATACCCAATGAACATAAAATAATCCAAATAGCACAATAGTTTACGCTATTTGGATTTTGGGATTTTTGGTAATTTGCAAATTTATGCAAAACTCAATCAAAATTACAGCAAATTAACATACAACCATCATTGTGTGCAATCATAAAATACTCGTATTCGCAATGTTCACCAGTTTAATTAAACTAAATCCCTTAGAGCAAACATCTGCCGGCCACAGGAGAGCATAATAAAGGGTTTGACATCCTGTCAATGCTGGTGTATAAAAGCAGGACAATGGACAATGGACCAAGATATAAACAAGGCATAAAATGTTGCAACAAATCTCAAGAAAATGAGCACATGAAATAAATAAATGAGAGCAACACAGAACACACAAGAAGCAACAATTCAAAAACACGTAAAATTACTTAAATTGTAAGAGATTTGGTGTTTCCTTACAATTGGCTGTCAAAAATCAAAGACATCTCAAAATGCAAAGCGAAAACTGTAAGATGAAGCCTGAAGTTGGTCGAAAGAACAGGCCGAAATCTTCCTCCTCTGATAAAGTTGTCAGTTGCGAATTCAGTTCGATTTTATTTGAATCACTCTGCTCATTCCACTCACAGGCAACGGTTATTGTTGCACACGGCCAGACAATGCTCGGAATTTCTTGTATTAAAATCGAAATGGCTTGCAACCAACCCCCTAGACCAAGATTCATATGTAAGCCCCATTGTTATGTGTGTGCTGTGCTGTGTGTGTGGAGTATTTGGTTATGCTGCCCTTACAGCTGTCAACATGTTTAATTGAAACTGACACTCAGTGTCATTTTATGGACATTGCCATGCGTTCCTTACCTTAACTGTAACTGTAACTGTAATTCGACTTGGCTTGATTATTGCGGCACATTCCGATCAACTCAGTGGCTGGCTGGGTGGTTGGGCGGATAACAGGCGTAACACGCATCACCTCCCAGTCGGTTGTATATTAGTTAAATTTATGGTTGACAATTTCGCCTATATGCTTTGGCATTGTCCTATTTGGTTTTGGTGGCCCTCGATAAGAGCAAGGCTAACTTTTCCGCACTACTGAAGAGGAAAATAGGACACGTGGGATATTAGATTTGTGAAGAAAAAAGTCGACATGAATGTAAGAAAATCGCACTGTTTCTCCAAATAATTTCAAAATATACGAAAAAAAGCAGTTATTTTAATAGAAAATATATTTTTGAAGTAAAAATGCAAACGCTTATTTTTCTTAACTTAAGTTACATTATGTAGAAAAATACATCCTTATTGCATTTTACTGACTTGCCATATGCGTAAATAATGCAGGGAGAACTGATTATGTATATTATTTTACTCCTGTATGGTCCTAGTTGTAAAGCATTTATGTGGCCATCAAGAGCCTGATATCAAATAATTAATTACATAATATTAAGGTGACAAAATTATGGAACAATTAAAGTCTTACAATTATTAATAAATAAATAAATAATTCAAATTAAACCAATTATATATATTTTAAATAAAAATTAAATAAATATTAGTATAAAAATTCGAAATAAAAAATTATCTAAAATGTTTATTTTAATGTTTATATCATTTGAGAATTCGAATTTTCACCAATAACAATAATAAAAGGAACTAAAAAAAAGAGACAACCTTCCAATCTAGAAATACTATTTTTGAATATGGGAGTTACTCTTGATTACTATTTTCTAAAATTTAGTGAGATTTTTGTCTGAGTGTAGAAAAAAATTTGTCCGACAATAAGAAGTACATATGTACATATAATATTTTCAAGGCTCTTTAATATTTCATTTCAAGCCTTGTGAGCGCCTCAATCTTAGATACTCATAATCCATATATAGATCTATTTGAAATACATGTATGTTTTTCCAATTTTAAAAATGATTGCAGGTTTCCAGCCTAATTAATATTTATTCATAGAGAATGTATTCAATATGTATTTTCAAAGGTCATCTTGCGGTCAGTTTTAAATACATATACATCTATTTTCAAACTTAAACAATTATTTCCAGCTATTAAGTTCTTTCAAGAGATATTTAATTATTTTTGTTTTAAGCTTGGCATCCACCAAACGGAGAGAAGACACATTAAATTTGAATAAGACAAAAATAGTGTGCCTATCTCGATATAAATACGAGTTAAACTGTCTAGTTTTAATTCTCACTTGTTTGGTTCGCTGAGCAGATTGAATTGTTTTTACAAATTCTCAATTTCAACACTGGTTTTTAGCATTAATTCAGCATTTTTCATAATAGAATAAAGGACAAACTCTTTATTTATTTTTCTCACTCGACCGCGCTCAAGTGCCCAATACTCTGTCGTCTGTGGCAAGTAATTTCAAATTTTTACATCATTTTGGGGGTGGTTGTCCACCAACCACTTGATGTCAATTTAACGCCACCGATTTGTATTATTTGCTCAAAATATCAACATAATTCCTTTGACAAATCAAATGGCGAATGACACTCCACTCCACAGCCACAGAAGGCTGAGGGCTTTCAGTGACCCATTGACGTTGACACCTCGCCCCGAATTGTGTTTGCCCAAATCGTTGAGACTCAATAGGTTCTCTGCCGGAGTGTTAAACTTGACACTTGTTGGCGCAACAGATCAAAAGAGAAGACGCTGTGCGCCGAGTGCGCCAAATTCTGAGATGCAATTATATATGTGTCGGCAAAGTCAATCAACATAAGAATAATTCAATTTTATGCAAAATAGACACAATTCAAACCACTGGGGACAACATACATGAAACCCTTTCCCACGAATCAGGCAACTAAAAACCAATTTGTTGTACACATTTCATTGTTTACTAAAGTACAAAAAAATGCTGGTAACCAGCTGGCAGCACCTGGCAACACATGTTCCTGTCATTTCATATAAAGAGGGCAAAAACAATTCAGTTCAATACCCGAGATTCAATTGCAAATGGACCCCTTTGCGCGAAACCCGAAATTTTACAGGGGCGTTTTTTCTATTTTTCTGTACTTTAGTATCTGTAAAGCAGTATAAAAACCAAATTTCACAATTACTTAGATAGTTAACTAAGTTCCCAGGATAAATAAGCTCAACAGTTCAAAGTTATCCACATACGATAATTTCGTGAAATTTATGAAATAATTTTAATATGCCTTTCACTGGCTGCAGACATATTTAAATTCTAAAAAAAAAGTTCACCAAACATTTATGAAAATATTTAAAATGTTATAATTTAATCAAATTAAGCAAAAGTAATAATAAACAAGAAATAAGTACATCTTTGTTATAAAAACTTCATCGTTGCTTTCACTTAACGAGTCTTTTATTATTAGGGAATGTTATTTAATTAATCATTGTGATATTTTGATACAATACTATTTCTGTAACATTGATTTTCCAAATCAATCAATTTTTTCTATGAGATACAAAAACTAATTGTTTTAGAGAAAGGTCAACATTTAAGCTGCTTAAGTAATTTAGTAGAATTCCCAATAATTCTTTAATAGTTTGCAAAACATAAAAAAAAATAACCGCATAGCCAATACAGACTTGTTAATGGGTTTAACAACTCAACTGTCGCAATATAAACTTAAGTCATTAGCAGTCAACAACTACTGTTGATCAATAATATGTCAATGCAGGTCATATATTAATTAGATTCTTAACAGACATCAAAAGCAATATAATTTCTTGGACTTTGGAGCTCTTGGATTTATTAACTGCATAACACGAAAAACTTGATAATTTGAGCACTCGTTTTTAAAATTTCGATTAATTTTTATATATTTGTTGTACTTTGTATACAAAAATAGTAAGCGCAGTTGACGTCTCTCAGTCAAAATAAGAAAATAAAAATCTCACTTTGCTGTCTGATCAGTTCTAGATATTGAACGTAAATTATATTTCAAAATGGATTCAACCAAACGTATCCAGACGACTAACGCATTCAAGATGTGGCAGGAGCTGCTGCTGTGGCACAATTGGCGCAAGACTGCGCTAATCTTCATACTGACATTGACGCTGCTCCTGGACATTGCCGTCAATCCGATAATCAGTGTGATGAGCGTGGCCGGGGCAATAATACTAGGGATCAGCATGTGCTATTGCTGCTACGTGTGGGGCATGCGGAAGTTGCACAAAAGCAATGATGTCAAGCATCCCTGTCAACGCTACCTGGACATGGATGTGACCATTTCCGAGGAGACAGCCGAGCAACTGGCTGATCTGATTTTACTCATACTAAACCCAATACTGTTACACTTGCGATCGCTATTCCTCGTCGAGGATCTGTTCGATTCACTGAAGCTGCTCTTGCTGCTTTGCTCCCTAAATATTGTGGGTGACCACATTGATGGGATGACTCTCCTACTAGCAGGTGAGTGAGAATACCATGGAAAGGGGTCATCTATTTTTAGCTCACACCTTCGCAGGTTTCGTGCTGCTCTTCACTGTGCCCAAATTGTACGAGTGGAAGAAGCCAACGATCAACATGCAACTGCTGCAACTGCAACAATTGAAGACTCTGCTGCTGTCATCGGAAAATAAAAAGATACCAATTGTATCTGTCGATCCGAAACTTATGTCGCCCAACTCCATCCAGGATCCCAATGGCTCAGACAATGAGCTCGATGATAATGGTGAACAGTTTAATTCGTTTGACCAGGACAATGAGCAGGACTTCACCAGTGAATACAACTGGTACGATACTCTAGATGTGGGTTATGACAACATAAAACAGACTTAATTATGACTTAATTCATTTAAAGCGTTTCTTAAATTGAACAATTTCTATAAAAATAATAGTCAAGAAATTTAGATTTATTCAAAATTTTGCGTCAAAGCCTAAATGAAGATTTCTAAAAAATAATAAGCCAAAACAGAACAAGAATTAATGTTATTTACTGTTACAATGCGTTGTAAAATGTTGACAACTATAGCCGCACACAAATTATACAGATACAGTTGTGTTTAAATCAAATTTACTATACTACATATACAATTATACTGTGTGAAAAGTCTATAGTACTAAATCTCATTATTTGTTGGTAATAAATTGATAATTAATAACTTTTTGCTTATCTAACTTTTATTATTTCTTATTTTAATATGGATCAAAAACATTTTTAATATAGAATTTAACAATAAAATAAAATTAAAGTTACAAATCAAACTATTTTAATTAAATTAAAATGGAAAGAAATAAAGAATATAATTAATAAATAAAATTAAAATTAAAGTTACAAATTAAATGTTATTAAATTATAAGTGAATAATTAAATTCAAATTTAAAATGAAAAAATAATACAAAATAAAGTACATATTACATATGGGGGCATAAAAGTATAAAATGCTGCCACATTTATTCCAGCGAAATCATTGAGAAAATCAAGAAAAAATCCCAAATCAGTCCAAACATTTTTAAACGTTAGTAATTTCGTAATAAAGAAAGTTAAAAGTTAGGGAAAGAGATTGATCAATTTTAAAACCTTTGCGAAAAGATAAATTTACCATATTGAAGTAGGTTGACAAAGTTTTGAAGATGAAAAAGATTGCAACAAGGCAAAAGAAAGGGAACCAATTTTCTCGTTCAATTCGCACAAAACAAAACGAAAGGCCATTTCATGGTAAGATATAGAAAATAGTGTGCCGAAGAAATAAGCTCATCAGAATGTGAAAATCCAAAACAAGCAGATATTATTGCATTGGCAGAGTCAGTTTTAATAAAAGCTAGTCATAAATTCAGCAGTGCCGCCCACAAGTGTCAAAAACCTTTTCACACATTTTAAATTAGCATCTAAGAGAGAAGTTGGGTGGCTGATTGCACTATGAATAACATTTATGTATATTTGTTACACATTGCCAAAAACTTCAAGACACTTTTATGGTGGCGACTGGATGCGCCAGTTTATGCGCCAAATTTGCCGGCTGGTCTGTCCTCACCAAATGTTGTCGTAAATGCCGTAAAAAGGGTCGTCGTTTTATCGATGCAGTGCAGCAGCAGCAACAGCAGCGTAGCATTAAATTTAAATCGTATGCAAAATGACATTAAAAATATGTATGTACATGCACATACATATCGCAAGTGCCAAAACCGCATCGTCTATAGTCTTGTCTTGTCTATAAAGCGGACGCCGTAAAACGCTGACAAGTCCAGGAGACATAATTAGTTTTTGGCCCATGTCTGTGAGCCACATAAAACCAGGCTATCCCACACTCAGAGAAAAGATCGCCTTAAATTTTAATAAATCGACTCAAAAAGTTTTTCTAGAAACAATTTCTAAATATTAATAAACAGATACCTAAAATTTAGAACCATACAACCATTGGACCCAAAAGATTGGCGACTTATTAAAATGTAGGACGGTATTTTTATGAGTGCATACTGTTCTATACTGTTCCATACTCGTTACAGTTCCAGTGCCAGCCATGTAAATCCATCGACCAAGCAGCCAGGCAATTCATCAATCAGCTCCGACTTCGTCTGACGCTCTGGCGCCATTAGCATTTGGATAAAAATGGGGGATTTGTTTAGTTTTTATTGCCACGCGCGTAAATGTCATAAAAATGTTCTGTAAAATGCAAGCAGCGCATAGAAGCCCGTGTATGGAATATGGTTTTATGACAGTCGCTTTTAAGGTAATTGCATTAGATTTATTTGCGTAGTTGAGTATATTTTGCATTAACGCCGCACATTCAGAGAGCAGGAAGAAAGGCAATTCCAACAATATCTGCTACGTGCCCAAAATGAGTACTTATAGCCTCTGTCTGTCTGTCTGTCTGTCGTAAATGCAGATGGCCCGATAGTCGAAGTAGTTTTGAGTACTCATTCACATTCATTCAAAATGGTAAATACCAAAAAATACTTGGAATTGAGCTGCATAGAATAGCAAATACCGAGAAGATAGCCCAGAAATTTTATAACTGATGTAATTGATCCACTTATCATATTAATCAATTAGTTACATAAATCCTGGCTTTAAACCCTAAGTCTTAAAATAAATTATTAGTCCCCAACTAAATTAAAAAATTAAATTAAAAATTAATTTAAAATGAAGAATTTGTTCCGGCACCAGTCAAATTGAATACATAATATTTATAACAAGAGCCACCTATATTAATAATTATATAACTGAAAATGACTTTTAACGATGTAATAAAATAAAACTAGAAATAAGAATTACACATTTACATGCAATAAAATATGTATAAAAAAAGAATATTCTTGATTGAAACTTGCCAATCAAATACAAGTTGATACAGCATGGCATATATTTGCTGGTACTAATTTTACTCTTCACGGTTTTCAAATCTTAACTCTCTTAAAACAAGAAAGAGCTATCCCTGACTTTCCATTCGCATTCTTCTTTTCGGATATCCATCTGAATTTAAATGACTTTGCAGCATTAGCAGGCGTCCATGTGTAAAATTACATATGCAAATCCCGCATAATTATGGACCAAGTTCTTAAGATACATCCACTTGGCTTTTAGCCATTTGCCGAGCTTAAAAGCAAGCAAGAAAATTGCGTTAATTTTTCATTTTCAGTCACGAGCAGTGCAAAAAGTGCTTTGCGGTGGGTGGTGTCACTAGCTCATTTATCAGTCGGTCGGTTTGCCAGAATTTAAATAATTTCAAAATGATGACAAAAGCTCTTTTCAGCACATCATCGTGTCTCATTCTCATTCTCATTTTAAGTAATTATGCACACATGCACATGTGGATATTCGGGGGTGTTCTGAAAAGACGTATCTAAAATTAAAAAACATTAACACTTGCTGCTTACAAATCATCTGAGATAAATTGTTGCATCATTAGTCATTAGCAGCGTGAAAGGGCTGCTCGAACCTCGACTTTCCAAATGGCAATCATGTGTGCTAGCTGTTTGCTATGGCTGTCCAATTTTTCACAGCCAATTGGCAGGGGGGTTGGGCGGAGGAGAGGAACGACATGTATTTTATCCGTAAGATAACCGGCATTCATATGCAAATTGTGTTGTGGGCTCTCTTGTCACGCTCATCATCTTGACGTGCAACTAAGTGCGTCGCCTCATTGTTTGGCTGCGAATTATTTATTGGAAGTCATTAGCCTTCGCTGCTGATGGAATAGACAGGAAGTGGTTCTTCCAGTACAAGTACAGTTCAGCTGAAAATCTACTAACTCGATCCTCAAAATGAATATGAAATAACTAAAACTAAATTTACATTTAGAATGTTCAGCATATATCTCAGAATATTGATATATTATTGAATATATTTATTAAAGTGCTATAATAATAGTTCAGTCGTCCTCCCATTTACGCTAAGCTTTTCCGTTTCCGTTTTGTGAGTTACAATTTCACCGACTTTTAGGGTACAAGCGCTGTTTTAATTGTTGTTGTAAATTATTGTAAATCAGTATAATTTCAATATAATTGCGCTGAAAATACTGACCGAAAATACTTTTAAATGGAGGGCGTGAATCGGAAGTTTATTTGACAATTCTTAGAGGACAATTGACAATTCGCCAGCAATATGCGCTTCAAGTTCGATGACTCCAGCTTCAGAATTGCATGAAAACAGTTAGTGATGGTTTTACTTACAAATTTCGTGAATCTAACTCAACAAATGTGGAATTTAGAATTATCGATTTAACCGATTTTCCAGCTCACAATTGAAAGTAACGAGAAAGTAAAAGTAAAATGAAGACAGCAAGTTTCAAGTCCATTTTTTGAATTTACAGTCAATTTTAAATGTCAGCAGTTTGACAATGGTCTACAAGGGTAGATATCACTAAAAATAGAAACTATTAACTTTTTGAATGTTTTCATTTATTTAATCAAAATTGTTATTTACATAGCTATGCAGCAATGATTCAATTAATAGCCTACTCTACGAAATCCTCTCCCAGACAGCATTCAGAGTTCATCCAACCCAGTCAACCCCATCAACCAGCTGGATTAAATCCAGGAAAGTTTTAATAACTGCCCCATAAGAGGCAAAGACAAAGATGGACTCACAGCTGCATCTGCCGATTAAATGCCGATTGAAGATGGTTAATGAGGATGGTGAGAAGAGCACAGTTCCGAATTATGGTTTAGGTTCTCATGTTAGCTGAAGTGAAAGTGTTACTTTGTAGCTTGATAACTCGAGAATGATAAGAATTGAAGAAGAATCTCAGCACCCAAGCGCTAAGTTTGCACAGCTGGCATTGGTATTTATTTGTCAAACATCTTTTCAAATTTGGATGATATAAAATATATATTTATTAAATTCGTTATTCAATCAGTTATTGCCAAGTCATAAATAAGTGTTTTTTTTTTTTTTTTTTGTTATTAACATTAATACAACCAAGTCATATGACAAACAGGTTTTTAAATATATTAAGTTAAAAATATATAAATATACAAAAAGTTTTGCACACTGATATATAAGGATGAGTGGAAGTGCTCTCATCTCTTATAAAGTCCCTTGGAATGCCACACAAATGTGAACAGGTACCATTAAATTCTAATCTACTTTCAGATGCGTAAAAGAAGATTACTTCTGATTAAGTAAATCGTATATATTCAAAGCTCAATAAACAATAACACAAATCAGAGAAAATCCTTTAATGTGCCTAATTGAAACTGCCACTCATTAAACACACAAGCCGAACCAAAGGCCTCAACAGATTTGCCAAAATTAAAAGATTTATGGTGTGCCAAAGTACATTTGTGTTTATGTTGGACATGTATTTTAGTTTTATTTGAATTCCGGACTGGACGGACAGGACAGACGCGAGGATATGTGATGCTTGTGGGATGTGCCCAAAGTTCATTAATTATGATTGGAGACAGTTAAACAATTAATAAAACAAGCGAACACAAACCCAATCCAAGCCAAGTTGCCATTGCTCAAGCATTCTATGGTCACTTTAGTTATTCTCTTCGATTGGGGGTTGGCATATATATATATATATATATATATATATATATATAAGCAGCAACGGAAGTAAACTTTTCGCTGGCACTTTTTCCCTATTTGCTTTGTTTTGCGCTTTGCGATTATGATCGGACTTTGATTTATGGCATTTTGTGCAAATTTATTGCCTTTGATTGTGTTCCCTTTTCCCGAACGGCGCTACATTAACTGAAGGCCAGTGTTTCTCCCAAGTAGTGTTAGCTAATTGAAATACACTTGAGGCGATTGTGGGACAAGAAAATAAGAAGTAACAGCTTGAACAGAGTGAACCTGCCAGAATCTGAATTTAATAGATATATACACATAATATATATAAGTGAGTCCATGTTAACATTTAATAGAAAACTAAAAAAAAAAAGTAGTCCATTCAAAAGTTAAGATTATTCGCGTAGAAGTGACTTACATATTAAGGTCTAAGCCTTATAAGGAAAGCTTTCAGCTATTAAGATCCAAGACCCTTTAAGTCCAAAAACCATGATATGTTTTTTGATTAGTCGTACATATTTTTTGTAAACAATTTAAAATATAAAAATAATCAAATAAAAACAAAATAAGTAAGAATGGTGGGCTGAACTACGTTATACCCCGAAGCCGTCTACTAAATATATTCTGATTTTATTGGAAAAGTGGGCAGATATCAATAAAACGAAATAAACTTTATCTGCACGGGTATACGAGAACTTATATTCAATATTCCAAACTCTCTAGCTCTTATAGTCTGAAAGATCTCCATGCTTATACAGATTTATATAGTGTGCTGACCACGAATATATACTTTGAGAGAGATGCTTTCCTCTGGCTGTTACATAAATTTACAATAAACCATTAAACCCTTTTTTCCAATTTTTAATGGGTTTAGGATATATATAATATAAATAATAAATATAAATAATAAAATACCCTACTTACCTAGTACACTTAAAAAATTTCGATCAAATAAATAAAAATTTGAATATGAAAAAGAAAGGGTAGCCCAAGGTTAGACTAAGAAAGGATCCTTTAGACGCTTACGAATATCTCTCAGAGTTCACGATGTCTCCCCTTTCTGTACAATTGACAGGTTGCATATCAAAAGTGATAGCATTTAAGACAAACCCCTTCGGCCAATTTAGGTAATCGTAAGCCTTAATTAACATTGAAAACAAACAAATGCGTGTGCTGGCAAGGCTAACAAACCAGGAACAAACCCCATTTACAAATCATTCAAACACCTCGAAAGAAAACCATAAATCTGATTTTGAAATGCATTAGACAAGGGCCAAAGATTGGGACTGGGACTGGGCCTGTTACTGTTTACGTTTGGGGGGATGGAATGAAATGCCCGGAAGCAAAGTGCATGCAAATTGCAAGGCATTGCAGACACAGACACAGGTCAACTTTCTGTTGAGCCCCGAGAAAGGAACTGCCAAAACAAATCTAGTCGCTGTCAAAGTTGCACCTATGCGAAAACCCCAAAACCCCAAAGTCGACATCCAGCTTTCAATTAATGCATAATTCTCCAATGTCATGGCTGGGAAGTTGTTTGTTTGTTTGTTGCTTTCATCTCACATTTCAGACAGCTACACTCAGAAAACAAATTACCTTAAATCTCAGTAAGTCGACATACACTTGGTGCCAACTCAGAAAGTAAATCTCTAAAAGTATGGGTATGAAATTTCTAGAAATTATGGATGTTGCTTTCTAAACCCAAAGTTTTACATTTCTATATTTTACAGTGAATTTTTCCAACTCGAATATAGAAAGAAGCCCAGCCAGTAAATTACAGTACGCATTTTTGAATTTTAGATCGTATTTTTCTAAATATTATGATTTGAATTTCTACTTTTTAGCAATCACTAAATTTTTGGGATTGTCGATTTAGGGCAAGAATTTCTAAATTTTAACAATTGTTTTCGTAATATTTAGAAATTATTTCTATAAACAAGGGGTGATTTTTTTTCTGAGTGTACTGTGTCTGGGGTTGATTTTACTTAACGCCTCGCCTCAGCACTTAACTTCCGTTTCCTGTTACTTTGCCAACGGCTACGAAGTCGAATCGGAGATGGAGTTGCAGTTGCAGTTGGAGTTGGAGTTGGAGATAAGGTTGGAATTAGAGTCAACGTCGAGGCATTTGCAACTAATTGAAAGTGCAATGTGATGCTGCAGAATGCAATTAATGCCTCGCAGCAGCAGCAGCAGCAACAGAGAGCAGTCGTCAGCGAAGGGCTTCGTGTCTTTGATTTGTATTCCATTTCAGACCGAGAGCAATGCAATAACCGAAAGAAAAAAATACTCCAAAGACAAACTTGGTACTTTTGGCTTGGGTGCAGCTTCCGTTGCAGTTCAAAGCCAGAGAGAGACAAGTTAGCTTATTGACTGGAGAAGAAACTGGGAGGAGAAAGTACACAAGTTGATTGGGAGAGGAGTTGGACTCAAAGGAGCCAAAGAAGTTTGAGTTTGAGGCAACTGAGCAAGATGCAAGTCAAAAGACTCATATTAATATTATTATTATTATTTTGAAAATGTAATATTGGAATATATTCATTAAAATAATGGATTAACTGCGCTAATAATATCATAACAGAAGTGTGGATACAATAAACTCAAAAAATAATATTCTGTTTATTTATCTTAATTGTGGGTTGGTTTACATTTTCAAAGTGAATGCAAAATACTTCCAAAATCTCATTGGAACATCAATATCTCATTAAAAGAGGTTTCAGTTTTCTGGAAAATACCTTATTCCAGCATACACCATGCCGTCCTTATAATATATTTTTTCAGTTAATAAGAGATTTAGCAATAAATTCATCGAGTCCCTACTCCCACTCTATTAATGTACGCACATGTGTAAATTAATAGTTTTATTATCAAAGAGAAATCAAAGAAAGGCGCTCTTTTATTTTAATTAGTTAACTTAATTTAGCCACACACGCGAAATGTGCAGAATGTGAATGTGAATGTACGAAATGTTTGGCAAGATGGGAATCTACAATAAGATCCAAATCATAAAGTGCAAGTTGAATTACTAAAGCGCATCGCAGATTGGCATGGGTTTAGTTGCTTACATTTGGGCAAAACAATAAATTGCTTTTTAAACACTTACAACTTACAAGTTGCAAGTGGCAAGGGGCAAGCGGCAAGTTGCAGGGTGTCAAGTGCATTTTGGTCTGCTTGCCACGCCGTTGCACGCTTGGCTTAGCTGCACTTGGAAACTGACAACTTTCTAAGAATAACTGCAAAGCGATTTGCATATTTTGCACCTCGCCGGGAAGGGGGAGCTGCGGGGAGGGTAGGCGAGGCTAACTTTATCGCACTCTATGCAGCCACCAAACAAAGACACATGCAACACACACACACACACACACACATACGCATTCAATTGCCGACTCGAACTCGTAAATCTTAGCCAGAAACTTTGGCAGACACGAAATTTATTTATAAACACAAGAAACAACACTTGAGTAATGCGAGCTGTGTAGCTGTCATACCCAACGTGAGTGTAGACCCCCCCCCCCCCACACTCCACCTCTTCTATATTTAAGTGGCACATGTCATTCCCTCTTTAGTTGCAACGAATTGAGCGCTTAGCAATCTGCCCCAAGCAGTTGATTATATTATACAGCAAAGAAAGAAGCTTACAACTAAATTTACAAGTCAATGTTTATCAACAGCCTTTACCGATATGTATAGAAATATATATACAGATATAGAAATGTATATATATATAGAAATATATATATATATATATCAAGAAATGTTTTAAAATGTGCCTTTTTGAAATTTGCAAGTTCAAGGAACTTATGATGTGGAAGATGACTCTTAAAAAAAGCGAGATAAAAAAATATTTAAGTTTAATAAAAATTAAAAAATTTAATTTTTATGAATATATTTTTATAAGTGGAACTCATTAAAAAACAAAATGCGAGACAGAGAAAACACATCATTTCAGCGTTTTCAACTTATTTGAATGCAATTAAAATTCAATTTTATGAAAAACGAAGAAAAGTAATGAAACTAATAATAGCACAATTTTTCAAATTTGCACCAATAATTATGAATTTAAGAAATAAATAAACCATTTCTATAATTTTATATTTATTTATCATTAATTATTTTGTTCGCTACTTTTTGTCACTTTTCCTACCAATTAAAAAAATATATATATATTTAAAATCAACGTTTTGATATATTGCAAAACTAATGATTTGTTTTTTCTTTTTCACTCGTAACAACTAATTTCGTAGTAGTGCAATTATTTTTTCACTATTATATATTTATATATTCTTATATATATGTATATATATATATGTATTTAAGAATTTATATAGAATTGGTTTGGGTTGGTATTCTTATTAGTTTCAATCAATCAATAGAAAGAGAAATGCCCCGATTTTAGCCCTGTCATTATATCTGTTAACATTTAAAAAGTTTGCGGTATACAAAGGTATCAGACACACCACAATAAACTAATAAAATTTATTTACTTATATAGATAACAATTATTATCAGTTTTGGTTTTCATGCATCGATAATTATTAGTCACCAGAAATGTTGTTTCAGACATAGCTTCATAAAATAAAACCTATTTCCGCTTGTCTCAGACAAAATAAAATGATCGCCAGAAAACAAACAAATTTGCGTTATCATACGAAAATTTCAAAGTGATTTGTCATTATAAAAATTATACTGACAAAATACTCTTGCTTTCAACTCAAGTGCCATTCAAAATATAATAACATAAGGAGCGGGAAATGTTTACAGATATTTTGGTGGAATTACATTCCACACTTTTAACATCGACTATCAGGTTTATCAGTGACCTGTATCTATTCCTGAATATTTAGTACGCCTTGCTGATCAAAGTGTCCCAAGGTGGCCTGTAGGGTCTGCCGAACTCGTTCACTGGCAAAGAGCTGATGTCGTTTCTCCAGCAATGCCTCGGCACTGATGAATGTGTCGACAGTGAAATCCACAGACGCCTCGTTGGCGGCACAACAAATGGGCAGCTCACAGGCAACGCCATAATACCCGTAGAATAGACATCTCTGCATTTCATCAGTCAGTTGGGCATAGCTTGGCAGGCATCCTCGATATTTACAGGCAGTTAGCGTCTCGCAAAGGCTTTGGTAATATTTCTGCAACAACTGTTCCTGTTTGTGCAACAGCACCTCCAACTGGAGACTGGTATAGAAAAAGAAATGCAGATCGACGGCCGGGCTGCCAATGAAACAGTTTTGGAAATCCACCTAAAAATAAAAGGAATAATTAAAACAAAACTCAAAAAAACCTTTACAATACTCACAATTATAGACTTCTTCTGTTCAGCATTAACCATCATGTTGTTTACCCACAGATCACCATGGACAATTACTGAAATTGCGCTATTTTTGGGATCAACTATAGAACGAATGCGTCTCGCATATTCATCTGGTAATTGGGCTTTCATTTTGGCTGCTATGTCAGCCATGCCGGGCATTTTGGCCACAACACCTGCCGCATAATCCGTGCCACCCACAACAATGACAGTGGCAAAAGGATCACTTATACCATCCGCATAATGTGAGGGCGCCAATTGTGCCACCAGCTGTGGCTGTTCCTCCATCAGCATCATGGAGGCGCCATGAAATTGTCCCATTTTCTGCATGCATATCAGAGCATCCTCCAGGGACAACCCCGTTTGACGATCGAACAACGCATAACCCAATGCGCCCAGATCCTCCAGTAAATAGATTTCCTTGGATGCCTCACGCTCCGCAAACAAGCAACTACACTCAGAAAAAAATCGCACTAATTTTAGTAAATCGCTCTAAAATTAAAATCGATCTAAAAAATTAAGTCTCTATTTTTTAGAAATAATTCTTAAATAATGGAAAAAAAAAAGTCTAACATTTAGAAATCGACAATCTGAGAATTATAGACATTTTTATATTTTGTTTTTTTAGAAATATTTTCTATGATTATTCAGAAATAAGTAATGAAATTTATTGGCTCGGCTTTCATATTAGATTAGTTTAGCTGTCGTCTTACTTAGAGGCCGAGTTTTTTCTAATTAAATTATATGAATTCATAAGCTATGTATAACGTTTGTGTATACGTGATGTCCAAAAATACCAATGTTTAATAACAATATAAGTAATAAAAAAGCTAATATAAGAATTCTTTATAGTACACTCATAGAACAACACCTTGGAAATTAAATATTTTCTAAATTTTTGAAAAATACACCCTGAAATTTTGAATGGCAAGCTTTAGTTTTAAATAAGCCGGAACCATAAATTTTAGATTTTTACAAACCACAAGATTTACCACAACTTAGGGCGATATTTTTTCTGAGTGTACGCATATTATATATCTTTTTGTTTAGCCCAATTGCATAAGCAAGGTGATAAGGTGTGCAGTCAACTTACTTGGCGCTCAGCTTTCGCTCGCTCAACGTCGACGCGGCCTTCTCCAATATCTGCCCCATTTCGGGCAATATTCGCTCAAACATCAGCTTCTCGTTGGAGCCGACGGCGGCGACAATTGGCAGCAGATCTTTCAAAATCAGATTGTCATGCTCTATCGGTGAATTTTCGCATTTACGATATGCAACCTTTAGTCGGTAGATGACGCTGCAAAAGTTTTCGCCACACTGCGTAATGGGCTCACTTTGCAAAGTTTCCAAACGCAAGCTTTCACTTTTGTACGCCACCTGCAAAGCTTTCTCTACGTAGGCGGCATCACAGTGCGTAGGGGTAGCAGCTTCTGTTACCGTAGCTTTTTCCACTTGCTCCATTATATTCTAAGCGCCGAACGTCTGTCGTAGTCAAGTGGTTCCGAAATACTGAGCGTAACCTTATGAAAATCGTTGCTAAATTGCGCAAACTTGTGTCGCTTATGAAATTATTACTTGTTGTAATTTACGTAGAACGTATCTAATTTACTGATTATTGTTATTGTTGATAACGAATGCATAACATTTAAAAATCAGCTGAGCGTAAATTGGAATAAGCACGCAAGCTAATTCTCTCTCTCTCTCTCTCTCTGTCTTTTTATCACTTACAAACAGCAAATTAGACTATTCAAAAACACTAAGTACTAATAAAAAATAATTACAATTAAAAAATTAATTGAAATTAGCTGAAATCCTTCTCGAGATGATCACTAATTAAATTAAGAACACTTTAATTAGGTACATTCATAAAAAATTAATTTTCGTAGTGTATGTGTACATATGTATACGTATTTCATTTGCCAGAATATATAAATGTAATAAATAAATAAGTAAACTTACCCTTTTCTAATAAACACAGCTGATCAGCGCCTCAACAGGCATCTGCTTTTTTGTTTTGATTGAGGTAATTTGTATTGACCTTGCCTGAATCCATTCACAAAAACACAGCAGCTCACTTTAAAGCACAAAACACAATACACTAAATTGCACTTAATAATAATAACAATTATAATAATAGATCGTAGCTATTTTAAATTTAAAGCTGAAATTGCAGTCACATTAATGAAAACGCGCGAAATCAATGTCCATTGTTATCGAACACAAATTAAGCAAACAGCTGATCAAAGTCTCTGCAAACAAACGCAATACATTTTTTATTTACATATTTGGCTTAAGCCAGGCGCATGTACATGTTCATGAGCTTATACAAGCGCGCACATTAATCAGCCGTACGAAATCATAAAACACACGTATCGCAGTAGAGTAATAAATAATGTTTTTGTTAATACACACAAAGCCGCGCCGCTGATGATGCGGACAAGCAACCTACGATATATATCGATATGCATCGACACATATACGATACATAACGATATAGAAACAAATAATGCACAATTGCCGCACCGGTTGTGATGAGACCAAGCCAAAAAATTTCGTCGACGATAACAAACGATGTTATTGCGATGAATTCATCGGCCGTTTATTCGCATGTGCATGTATTTTACGCATTTTGCAACACTCGAATAAATAACCTCAAATCAGCGAAATTCAGCTCACAGAATTGGTAATAAACAATATACAAATAAAGTTGATCGCATTGGCCGCACATGGCCAGCGACAGCGCCAAGCGGCCGTCAACGATGCCAGCCAAAAAGATGCCAACCACCACAGCAACAACAACGCCAGCTGCTGTTGCTGCTGCAGTTGCTCCCCTCGCAAATGTGGCAAATGGGATGAGTCGTTTGACGCCAGCGCGAGACTTGACGCTGGGCGGACGAGGAGCTGCTGCTGCGGCATCCAAAAAGGTCTTTGCACCCAATCTGAATGCGGTGCGCAACAAGAACACGTGAGTAGTTGGAGTATGGAATTAAGGGGTTCCCATTAACGAAGACTTTGATCCCCACCAGCAACGTGAAGACCTCCAAAGATTTCACACAATTGCGCGGCGGTCGTCGCGGTGCCCGGGGCGCAGCTGGAGCGAATCGAGGCGCACGTGGCACTGGCAATGGCAATTCCTCGCTCATACAAACGACTGGGGTATTCTCCGAGGGCGCCGGGGCTGTTCACCTACGCAAATCCACAGGCGGTGGCTCTGCCTACGCCCGAGCCGGAGAGGAAGTGGCTGTGGCGCGTAAGCGCACAGAGCGCAAGGATGAAAAGTCGCAGGAGTTGCGTGTACGCGAACTAATTGGCAGTGATGCCAGTGACGCTGAAGAGGAGGACGAAGCGGATGAAGCCCGCAGCGATCCAGAAGTTGTGGAGCTCGATAAGACTGATTTGGACTGCAAGCCCGTGCGACTTACGGAGGGCCTGTGGAGCAACACCAAAAAGCACATTGTGAAAAAGGAACCAGGAACGACAACAAATGTTAAATCAGTTGATGCAGGTAAACCAAAGATTTACAAATTCCATTCCAATGTTTTACATGCCTTCTTTGCAGACTCTTCAGATGTAGTCCAGCAGCTGCACAGCCTGCAAATGGCTGTGGAGGCTGGTTTGGAGGAGCCTCCGCCACAATATGGACGCTATCCGCGCAGCATTGGCGCCTTCCTCGAGGTTCCACAAGCCCAGTTGTTCATCATGCAGCTACCCAATGTTTTACCCTGTGTGGCAGATGAGGTTGACGATGCCCCAACAACTGCTGCCACAGATCAGTCATCAGCTTCCTCATCCACAGAGCAACCCAACAGTCCCCTGTCCACATCCACTGGCAGTGGTGCAGCCAAACTCAGTCTGCTCGCCCAGCTGGAGGAGGGTCAAATTGGGAAGATTCTACGCTATCGATCGGGACGCGTTAAATTGCTGTTGGGCGAGGCACGCTTCGATTTGGACATGGGCCTCGATCCGGGCTTCCTGCAGGCAAGTCCAACACCTCCATCTGATCTATCAGAGATTTATTTTCGACTCTTTGCAGGAGCTGATGTCCATCAATAGCAATCGCGAGCAGCGCAGCGGCAATATGATCAACCTGGGTCCCATCCAGGCCAAGCTGAAGGCGACTCCGGACTGGGTGCATCTGTTCGAGCAGCAAGAGGCAGCCGCGAGGCAACCACCACCTGCCACTATAAGCACTACTGGCGCCTCAGCCACGTAGCATTCGATGCGACTCCTCGACTAGCTTAGTTTAGGCACATTTATTATTAATAATAATAATATTAGTGTAAATATTAATATAAATAATAATAATGTTGTAAATAGTTAAAACAGTTAACTCTTCCTTTTTATGAACACGAACTCATTATAAACAAGTAAAAGGGTATATCCTATATATATATTTTAAACGATATTCAAACTTTTTCTAATGATTTTCAAAATCATATTTGTAATTACTTGTTTTCAAATCAAATTTTCATAATTTTTAAATTCTATATTAAGTCTTTCTATTGACATTTTCGAAAAGAAATTAGATATTACTTGCTTGTGTTCAAGTAAAATTTTGATTATTTTTTAAACAATATTTTAAGTATTTGTCTTAACATTTTCGAAAACATATGTGTGCACTGCCATTATTATTTTGACCACAGCTGTATGTAAAAAAGATGACAGCGCAGCGCGAGATTTCATAGCAGGCAGCTAGACAGAATTAACAGGACTCGTTAAGAGTTGCTAGATTGTGCCGAGAAAGTCGTCCAGTTCCTGCCATAAGAGAAAGGATTTTCAAAACTGTTTACATTCGAGTGCGCAAAATTCTTAAAGGGAAATTTACCAATAAAATTAAAATATATATTTAACAGCTTGTTGCAGGTGATATCTTTTTCATTTTTTTAATATAACAAATACAAATCCCAGTCTCAATTATCGCCCCCGGTACATATTCCCCTCCAGATCGATGGCATAATTGTGATCCACGGGATTGGCCAGCGCCGTCTCAATGGCCACCTCGAGGGATTCACGTGTGATGAACGTCTTCGCCTGCTCGATTTCGTAGCGAATGCGTTCATCAACTTTTTCCCGACGCTCCTCTGAGCGCAGCTTGGCTGCCTCGAGGCGCTCCTGGACATAGGCCACCTTCGCCTCGCGCTCCTCGGCCAAACGCACATTGCGCTCGCTGGCTATCTTGGCATTCCAGGCGGCATTCTCGTCGAGGCAACGCTGGAATTCCGCCTCCTCCTGCTCCGGTGTGAGCACAATGTGATCTGCTGTGGATGTTTCTTGCTGGCGCACAACTTCCTCCCTCAAATATTGACGCACCGAACGCAATTGGGTTCTAATTAAATAGGATAATGTATGGATGGAATAAATAGATGGATAGATAATTCTTCTCTTTGCTCACTTGTAGTTATTGTGCAGTCGCATCAGCTCCGTGCGCTCCTCCTCCGTTTGCTTTTTTCGCTCGGGCACGCGAAACATTTTACTTTTGGCCACCGGCAACCAGCGCGGTTTGCGGCGCCAGCGCACAAATTCCAGTGCAAAATTATTGCTGCCAGTTTTGACAGCAGCAGCCTGATTCAGTAATTGGCAGCCTGCACGCAGCATATTTGTTAATGTTTACAATTCTCTTTTATAAATGCAAGTTTTTGTAAATTATTCTCTTGTTACGGCATCAATCTGCATGCGTCCGATAAACATAGCAATCGATAGCTTATGCACCTGCTAGCATACAATAATCGCATGAAGTAAATGCCTTACATGGTGGAGCAAATTCGGGTTAAAAGTAGACCACGAGCTTACAAGTTATTAATATGCAGCAATATTTATAATTTTTTAATTTATGTTTTTAATTTTTAAATGAAATGATAACAATCATCAATGGCCAAAGTCATTCCAGCATTAAAGAACTGTTAACAAAGCGAAAACAAGTTATCGATAATGGGAAACTCCACATAAAAGCACAGTTTACAAAATAAAAAATAGTTATCGATAATGAAAAACTTATAAAAATGTGTCAAAAGGATCGCGAAATTTTGAATGATGGAATTTTGACGGCCTATTTGAAGGTGTCAAAATAATTAACTTTGGTATATTTTGAGAAAAGTGTACTTATAATCGCCGTAAAGGTGAGAAATTTAATTCTTTACATTTTCGCCTCTCAGCAGGCCTTTTTATTTTTCAGTTCCATAAACGAAATATATTGCAATTTCGCTCGCTCGTCAATCTGCAAATTTTGCTTAAGTAATAAAAACATCTGTGGTGAAGTCGTGTCATTCCAGCACATCGATGAACATATCGATTAATGTGCGGCAGCCTGTCATCAGAGCAACTATGGCAACGTACAAAAAAAAACATGTTTGAATTCTCAAACAATTTGAAAACTCAAGTTTGACAAAGGCATATATTATTCGAAACTATTATTAAGCCGACAACATGGATAAGCCGCAAATGATCGAACATTTGCATGAGGCCGTCAACTATACGGTATACGATACGAAATGGATTCCGCTATCGGCAAAATTTGTGGTGCTCGGCTCGAAGCCAAACAGTCATGGAATTCTGGACATCTACGAGCTGAACGAGGCCAAGCTGGAGAAGGTGAAGTCCGTGGAGAAGAAGGCCGCCTTCAAGTGTGGCACCTTTGGCGCCTCCTCACTGCGCAACCGGCACATGGCCATCGGTGACTTTGAGGGTCGCCTGCAGGTGCTGTAAGTAAATAAAATAATTATGCTTAAAATTATCTATAGTTCTTGAATGTATTTATAGCGATCTGGAGCGCACTGATCTTGCCGTTTACAATGTGAAGGGTCACAACAGCATCATCAACTGCGTCGATGCCATTGGCGGGACGCAGCTGGAGTGCGGCTCACCCGAAATTGTGACCGGGAGTCGCGATGGTGCCGTCAAAGTTTGGGACATCCGTCAGGGACAGGCGCCCGTTGTGGACATATCGCCGCCGGCGCAAATGGGCGATGGCATCAATAACTCCAATTTAAGGCGCGACTGCTGGGCGGTGGCCTTTGGCAACACTTACAATGCGGAGGAGCGCATTGTTGCCGCTGGCTATGATAATGGAGATCTGAAGCTCTTCGATTTGCGTGCTTTGGCCGTGCGCTGGGAGGCAACGATTAAGAATGGTATCTGTGGTGTGGAATTCGATCGTCGCGACATCCCAATGAACAAGCTGGCGGTGACAACGCTCGAGGGCGGGCTGCTCGTTTACGATATGCGTACTCAGCACCCGACTAAGGGATTCAGTTGGGTCGAGGAGCGAAATGCGGGTCGCAGTGTGGGCACCAATGGTATCATCAATGGCCCAAAAGCCACTGTGTGGACTGTTCGCCATTTGCCGCAGAATCGTGATGTATTCCTCACGGGCGGGGGCACTGGTTCGATTCGCATCTGGAAATATGAATATCCCGATCGGCGTTTTACGGATGATGCCGATGGCATCAAGGAGGGCGTAGCTGGGAAGCTGCAAATGGTCAGCGCCGTGACGTTGAGTTCCCAGCCGGTGCACAGCTTCGACTGGCATCCGGACAAACTTGGCCTCGCCGTCGCCGGTGCCTTCGACCAGAGTGTGCGTGTTCTCATCACCACCAAGTTAAATACGCTTTAAGCCTCTTACTTATAGTATTCAATATTTAGTAAATTGTTTAATAAACGTTTTACTTTTGCGTAAGAAAATAGCACAGCTACAAAATGAAAAAAAAAACCTAATGATTTTTTTTCAATTTTTCAAATCTTGATTTTTAATTTATATTGTTTAGTATTCCTTCTATAAATTAAAGTTAATACTTCTCCAGGAATTCGTTTCAATATTTATAAATATTTAAAATATATAATTTTTGATTTTAATTTTTAATAAATTTAAATAACTTGGAAAAGGTAAATAGAATTATGCGTTTTTTCTAACTCTTTTAAAGAGTCTTCCTCGACATCTAAACGCGTATTCAAAAGTTCCTTCAACTTACAAATTTAAAAAAAAAAAACGCAATTTTAAAAACATTTTTTTATTTATTTATTTTATGTACAAATGGAGACTGGAGCATGGAGAATGGAGTAGCTAGCAACTATGTGCGCTGCATTCGCTGCTGCACGATCCCAGTGAGCTCGGTGAGCTGCTGTTCCAGCTGCTGCTGCTGCTCGAGTTGCTCCTTGGGCACCTCGACGAGGCTGGCACGCTTCAAGGCATTCAGACAGGATGTGGCAGCCAAACGACTCGAGTTGAGCTGTGAGGTAATCATTGCTTCGCTCTCGTCCTCGGCATGTTCCTTGAGCGCTGCCAGCGACAACTCGGCCACATCCAGGCACAAACTCAACGCCTTCTTGGCGTGCGCCGACTTCGTCTCCCAGTTGAGCTCTTTGGCAGTGTAAGCACGATAGGATTTAACAAGACGCTCGGCTTTCTTCAGCGGCGTGGCTGCCACTAAGGCAGCCAATTCCCAGACCAGCGGTTCATTGCCATGCTGCACGCATTGCTGCCCCAGCAGCTGGGTAATGCGACGGTGGAGTGAAGATGACATCGCCTGCGAGGAGGCGGCGCAATCTGATTGCATTTGTCGGGCAATGCCGTAAACAATGCGCGTCAGCAGCTCTTCATCCAGATAATGTTGCTTGAGCTCACCGAGTCGCTGATACGCACGCATTGCATCCTCCCAGTGTGCGATGTCCACCGAGACAAGCATATAATTCTCCCACACCTTCCAATTGCTGTAGTTACACTTGAGAGCCTCGCCGAGCAGGCGATGAGCTCGCTGCTTGTCGCCCAGCTTGATGAGCGCCTTGGCCAGATTATTCCACGACTCGAAGCCGTGCGGCTCCAAATGCGTATAGGCCAAATAGCACTTGACAGCCAAGTCCCAGCGTTCCAGCTGAATGGCAGAGTAGCCGCCACGCAGCAATATCGACTCCTGCAGCGAGTTGATCTCCAGCGATATCTCGTAGTGGGTGATGGCCTGGGCGTAATCCGCGCGCCTGTAGAAATAGTTGCCCCAATAGGCTTGCGCTTTGCCGCTGGTCTGCTTGGAGTGGAGCCAGGCCTGCTCGTAGCACTGTGGATCGTCCACAGCATCGCCCAGCAGACAATAGAGCAAAACTGTTGGCTGCTTCTCCAGCTCCTGGCGTATAATCTCCGCCGCCTTGTGACGCAGCTCCAGACTCGTATAGCACTCGATGACCTGCTGCCAGGCGTGGATTTGCAGACAGATGTCCAGCGCGGTCTTCGTCATGCCCAGCGAACGCAGCAGATCAACTAGTTGCAGTTGCACCTGCCACTTGGGCAGCATGAAGGCGGCAAATCCATAGGATAACCGTTCTCTCAGCGTATGCTGCTCGGTGTTGTCCAACAATTTGACGCACTCCTCGCACTGCTTCCAGCTGCGCTCCACGGTCCGTCGCATGCCCGATTCCTGGTGACTATTGAGTAGCAGCGCCGCTTGGCGCACCTGCAGCGGCCCATGTTGCTGATAGAGAAGCGTTTGTGTGTACGGCTCCAGTTGCTCATCGGCCAGGCGATCCTTCGGCTGCGAACGCTTCAGTTGCTTACTGTGTGGAAATTTAAGGAGCATAAGAATTAAAAATATATTTATTATGTATTATGTTGTAATATATTTATAATAGTTGAGGTATTCATTAATTTATGTGTGGCCAACTAAAGTCAGTCGACACAAAAATAATACAAAAATTACAAATTTGATTCAATTAAATTAAAAATTAAGTTTAAATAAAAAAAAAATATATTTATAAGATTTGTAAGATTTATGGGCGTCCAACATTGAGTTCTTGATAATAGAAAAAGAGGACTCTGAAGTTATTACATGATCAATTCCATTGGATCCATTACACTGAATAAAAAAATCTACATAAATTTGAATAGATTGCCATACTTTTGGCACAAATGGTTAATCACCCTACTATTCAGATGGGACATTTCTAAAATTAGAAAAATTAGTCTATTTTCCACGTTGTTGTTTTCTATGCTAAATTCTTATTTTTTGTTACTAATAATTATTATTAAACATTTTACATTGTTAATAAATTCATATAATTCAATGTGAAACAGTTAAACTCTAATATAAAAGCGGAGCCAGTAAATTGTATTATTTGTTTCTGAATTTTAGAAATGAGTTTTCTGAAAATTATGATTTGTATTTCTAGTTTTTAGAAATTTAGAAATATTTATAAAAAAATATAAATTATCAAATTATCGGGGAAATATCAAATTTAGCGCTCGATTTAGTTCAAACCTTTCTAAATTGTATATGTTTTTTCCTAATATTTAAAAATTATTTCCAAAAATACAAACAACTTATTTTTTACGGCGATTTTCAGTTTAGGGCGATTTACTACAATTTATGGTGATTTACAATTAGGCAAAATAGGTTTAACACGTCGCAGTGCATAAAGCACTCTAAGAATAATAATAAGGGTTTAAAAATAACTTCAACTATAAGTGCAAGTGGGCACCAAATACCCCAAAATTTTAAATCTTATACAAATGTCTTTAATTTAAATATAAAATTAAGTTTAATTTTTAATTTAATTTCAACTATTTTTTACTTTTCGTATTATTTATGTGTCGACTGTCTTGAGTTGTCATTAAATAAATAAGTAAGAGGACTTTCTACTCACACCTTGGCCAGGACAAGGGCCTGGAGAACGCTTGGCAGCGTCATCACCTCGTTGTCCTTGGGCTCTATGAAGCGTATGCGCTCCAGCCGGGTATCGTCCTCCAGGAGCAAGAGTTGAGGCAACGTTGTTTCCTTGTTGCTCAGCATTGCTGTGGGTAAACCATTATCACTCCCAGATTGCTGCACCACCTTCAGGCAGAGTTGTGGGAGCGGTTTTTGTTGGAATTTGGTGCGCACACCAAGTAATCCCTCCACTTGGAGTTCGACCTGCAGCTGATCGCATAGCTCAGTCAATGTCTGGCACGACAGATCGGATCGATGAAATTGAAGGTATCCATTGGCTATTTCGAGCAGAAGCAGCGACTGCAGCTCCTTGTCCTCCTCGCCAAAGGCGGCCAGATGAGGACGCAAATCGGCAACTGACAATTTGAATTGCTCGTAAAGAGCACTGGCCAAATCGTCCAGCATGTGCTGATGCAGGCAGACCAAACGCAGACGCCACCAGCTGAGCAACTGTGGAGCATCAATTAAAAAAGATCAAATACAGTTTTAAAAGTAAATCCGAAAAGTGAAAATACTTTTGATGTTGGCTGAGCTGCAATTAAAGCGTCAAGCATTTGTTGCGCTACGAGCAACAATTGCGGCGTCTTCACGTTGGGATTCAGCTCCTCACCACTGGCCTTTAGCTGCTCCTGGGCAATGCTCGGCTCTAGTTTTAAGCTGATCAGCAAATCTTGGCAAGCTTCTAATTTGTCAAAGGGGCCAGTGAAATTGTTTTGCACAAAAGCGAAAACCAATTGCAGAAATTTGTTTAACAATTGTGTAGCCTGTTCGCTGGATTTTAGCTGCTGCTCTGTATTGTCCTGCCATGATTTGATTATGGTTTGGAGCTCTGCGACTGTCCATAAATCCTGGCTAATCCATAGATTTCTAAGTCGCTCATCGTTTGGCAAATCTGCAAGTGAAATTTGTATTATTAGAAAGGGTTTCATTTTACTAGTTCATAAGACAAACCCTCCAGCTGGACTGCATCATTGAAATTACACAAATAGTATTTGCTAAACGTTTCCTCGAGCATTTTTACATGGAATGCAATCGTTTTAATTCTCGAATATTTTTAATGAGGTTTTTTGCACTTTTTTGGCGTCCCACGTGTTTATTGTGCTGCCGTTTCGACGCCCTGAGAGTCAAATAGGGATCCTCTCGAAACTGAACTCACTTCGGAAATTAAATAGAAAACGTGCTTTGTCTCTTAAGTAGAGTGTCAATCAGTTGGGCGCAATAAATAAATTAATGCAATCACAAATGGAATATTAAATCCGCCAATAGTGTGAAACACCTTGGGCTATCGATAACTTTTTGAAATATGTGGTGGCTGGGCGATAAGGAGAAGCATTCTTTAATGAAGTATAAAACTTTCCTTATAAATTTTAACTTTTTTTGGTTAATAACGATATAATGTCATATAAAATTTATGTTTTTATAAATGAACTACTAAAATGTGTGATACGATATGTTTGCATTGAACGATAGTTCGACAACTTACTTAACGAAAGCGTATCTTTTAACGATTATTGTTGTGCACGCTCAGATTATCGATTATTGTAGGCGGTTAAGTTTAAATATTTGAATTCATTGTGCATGCAATTTAACTTTTCTAGAGTGATGTCGAAATCAATTTACAATATATAATAATTCATATATACAAATGTATACAATACATTGCAGTATACAATACAATACATACAAATGTATTGTATACTGCAATGTATTGTATACATTTGTATGCGGCACATTGCTTAGATTGTCATAAAGCGCTGCCCAATAAGTGTATTTAAATTTGTTTAATTGTTTATTTGTCGTATTCTTAGACTGCTTGCATAATTGCAAGCATGTTCAAATTTCAATTAAATCGTCTACTGGCGTCTGCGGCAGATATAAATAAATATTCGCAATTCGCAAATATTTTAAAGTCACATGTGAATTTGAATTTCAACAGTATATTTACACACACACACATATATATGCACTTAGTACACACATATAAACACACACACACATAGACAACAGGGAATACCTGCGACAATTTGCGCCTGCAATTATAATAACACACAACATGCACACAAACACATATACTCACCTAAGAAGATGTATATTCGTTCACTTACACTTACACAAAGAAAGCCGCAAAGCTTTTGCATTTTTTTACGTCGTAGCTTCTAAATTTAAATTTCACGGTCAAGGTCAAGTTTGCACCCGCTGTCGACGTCAACGTCACCGCCGCCGTCGCTAAACAGTTAATAAAATAACAGAAGTGCTACAAGTGTTAAATCTATTTCCGTTCTAGTTGTAGTTGTTTATATTTTGTCTTAAACTGAAATTAATAGATATTTATTTACTTAGCAAGAGCATTTTCGATAAACTGACGCTTTATAACGGTCTGCATTTCTCTTCACATAAATTCAAATGCTGCAAACTCACCACAGCTGCAGAGCTTTCTGCCGTTTACTCTTAATGCCGCTCTTCTGTCGCAGCTTTTGTCAAATTGATGAGCTTGCATATTAAGCATTCTCTTCGTTAGTTGCTCTCTCATTCTCTCTCTCTCTCTCTCTCTCTCTCTCACACACACGCAGTGTCGCTCTCTTTAGCTTTATTTTGCCGGTGGCCAAATGGTGCACGCCGGCTTCGAGTGCACTCACACCCCATCCATCCGTCGGGGCATGTGCACAATTGGAGCGGGGCTACGTCAGCAGCACCTGGCTTCGGCGTGCATGTCATTGTGACCCAAAAGCTGTTGCAGCTGCTGCTGTAACAGTTAATTTAGTTGACAAGTCTAAAATATTACATTTATGAGTCATTTAACATAAATGCCTTGATGCGAAGCACATTTATTAATTCTAGTGCTGTAAACAGGATTTTAAAGAGTCGAACACAGTTTGAAACAAAAAATTAAACACTTTTATATTTATATATATATTATATATATATTTTATTTTGAAATATCAATTTTGAGAGATATCGATTTAGGTTCAATAATATTCTAATATCATATTTATAATAACTCACAATATTCAAATTATTAAAAAATATTTGTTTTTTTTAGCGGATTTATTGTTAAACTTATTCAACACAATTTATTATAATTACTTACAGAAATGTTTATACTCTTTGAATAATTACTGATTTGCAACAATTTAAATTTAAATTTTTAAAATTTTAAAATGTGTATTCTCTTTGAATATTTACAGATTCTCATAATTTTTATTATTTATGGCTTATCAACTGATCAATCTTTGTCTATAATTTTCCAAAATTTAATATTGGTTTTCATACCTTATCAAAATAAAAAATAAGAGATTTTTTGTTAATTTTTGTTTTACTCATAATTAGCATATTGTTGAAATTGAATAATATTTTTAAATATTATTAGTTAGCTAAACAAAACCCGTTGCCAGTTCATATTTAACATTTACTGACTCACATTTCACTTGATAATATATTATTTTTATTATTATTATTTTTATTTTTTTAATACACCAGCTCAAGGTCGCACAGACTGTGTTTGCCAAGGCATTAAATGCAAAAATAAATAATATACATATATATTTCTAATAACTAATTTAATTGTCGAGACAAAAGCAAAGCCAGACTTCAGTTATCGCAGCAGCTGTTAAATTACTTTTTTATCCAGTTATATTTGATATGCAAATTTAGCTTGCCTCTCGTCGCTCTCACATTTTCACCCCATTTCCAACACTCCCCCTTGCCAAAATTGATGTCAGTGGGTTTTCATGTTAGCCGGCAAACAGCGACGTCAGCAGCGACGCCGACGTCGACTGCGAAGCATTTCCATTTTCACTTTCACAGGCCGCAACTTTCACAGCTAAACTGAGCCACTTCCCGCCTCTTTTCCCACCTTTCCCACCATTTTCAGCTTGTTGCATTCCAGTCTCAGTTTCAGTTTCGTTTTCGCTTTGGTTCGTTGCTCATTATTAAGAAAAGAAAAAAAAACATAATTATAATTAGAATACGATGCAAAACAGATGTTTGGCTTATATGTATAAATATTATATTATTATATAAATATGCATTTTAATTTAAGCAATAATTTGTATTTAAAATTGGTACTTTTCTGAATCGATTCATTTTAGTCGATATTAAATTAATAAATAACTCCATTTTAATAGGATTAGTTTCTAATTTGTATTGATTGTATACATTGTTTCCAGTTTTAAATAATATAATAACTAAAAATAAACACAACTCGAATCTCGATTGATTTCTTACACAGAAAAAGGTTTGGCTCTATGGTTAAAACTGCTCCAATCCATAATCTATGGAATTGATTCTTGAAAATATTGGGGAGGGATCCATGGAATCGTCTTTACAGTAATCATAAATAGCCTGTCTTCACAAATCACTGCATTTTAGATCTGTTTTGTGGACTAGTTACCCATAAGAGCCATTCAAAAATAAAAATTGTTCTCTGGTTTTTTTAAATAAGGAAAACCCCGGATCGATAATTATACTCAAAGCAGTGCCCCAAATTTTAGAAAATTGCCCTATAATTATAATGTGAAATGTATGTATAAATTTAGAAAATTGTCCTATACTAAACTTAAGGGTTTTTATTTAAATAAATATACATAATTATAATAAATAAATAAATATAAAATTATAAAAGCTAATTTTATATTTTACAGCAAAAATACAAGTTTTTTTTCAAATAAAATTATATACATTTATAAACAATCTAAAATGATTCAATACAGACTGTAAATTGGACATATCTTTTCTCAATTTAAGAAAAATTTAAAGTGGAGTTAAGAGAAGAAAAGCCCAGACTTTTGTATAAAGACAAGATGCATTTTTAGAAATATACTTTCTGCCTAATAATTAGTAATAATTGGCGACAAATATATCATTTGCTGAGGGTATTTTGTAGTCTTTAAGCTACATGAAGAATCCAAATTTCAAAATTAAAGCAGTAGGCTTGTTTTGGCGCCTGCCTCGAATCTGTCACGATTCAAGCGACAATTTTCGAGGGCGGGGCGGAAGGTCAGCAAATCAATAAATAATAAATAAATATGTATATGCAAAACAAAAGAAAAGAAGAAATATGCATATTTGTAGTGTGACCATTCAACAGCCTAAATGCGACTAAATGTGGCAACGCATGCTAAAAAGTTCTACTCAAATTAATTTATTTCGCACTTAATTATTCAAATGCTGACACGCAAGAAGAAGAGCAGCGAAGAAGGTGGAGAGAAGAAGAGGGAGAGAAGACGCTGACCTTGAGCCGGCTGCCTTTGCCGGCCTCTGCCTCTGCCTCTGCCTCTCTCTCTTTCTCTCTCTCTCTTTCGCACTGCCTGCATATTCTTCGCACTTCTGGTTGGCGATCAAATAACGCGTCAGGCAACAACAACAACAACAGCAACAACAAAGCGAATGGCAACCAAAAAATAGAATCATAAAACCCAAAATGTACTCAAAAGCGAGTACATCTCGTACTCGTATTACTCAGAGACCCCAGATGGACAAGAAGTTTAAATATGTATTTCTGTATGTAGATATGTATGCACGTTTAATTGATGTTATAAATAGTTTTTGCACTACGCATAAGATAAAAACATGATCTTATATAGTGCGCAGTTTTTCGAATAGAGCATAAATAAATAGAGATAAATGCTAAAATAGGCAAATAAATCGGTGTGAATCCAACTAGCAGTGACATCACTTTCATTAACGGATTAGCAGAATTCGATGTCAGCTTTAAAGTTGAATAGGTTTTGAATGAAAATGCTGACTTACCATTACTGTTTCTCCTACAGAATAAAGAGAAGCCTTCTCAGAGATGTTGATAGTTGGCAGTATATCGATATCACTGTTATTAACATAAGTAATAGTTTACAAGCACAGCTTAAAGTCTTAAACTTGCAGCTTACTTAAATTCTTCATATTCCAACTGCAAATAAATAACGGTATATATGTGTTTGCATACAGTACGAACCGCCTGCCGAGCCCCCCTTGCAGTTATTACTTATTTCAAGCCACCTGTTGTTCAAATACCTTTTACTCCAAGCAACGGCGCTTGTGGGTATTTCACATTTATCTGTCATAACGGAAAGTTGCCAAGTTCTCTGCCACTGTGCAATATGAGGACAGATTACGCGGTATTCTCGAAGTCGAGCAGTTTCCGTTGCTGCTGCTGAGCTTTTCTCGCTGCTGTTGTTATTATTATTATTATTATTTCACATTTGTTTTGTTCTAAGCGAAATTCGCAACTTGACCTTGAACAATTATTGTTTATTAATATTGTTGTTTGTTATTTTTCGGCGTTGTTGCTGCTTTTGTTGATACCTCCATGCAAATACATACAGAATACAGACATAAGTATACTATATAATGCCATATTTTGTTATTATTCGCGTTTTGTGCATTGCGCGTTTATTCGTTTTGAATACCCTGTTGTTATTGAAATTTATTTAAATTTAATTCCTTAATCAGCTTGAGGAACTCTGTCGATTAAGACACGGCTAACTTTGTCTTTTTGTTTGCTCTTTAAGAACACTCAGAAAAGTAAATCACCCCGAATTTTCGAATGTTTAGAACACTACAAAGATTTTGAAGATGTTTTAAGTAATTTCTAAACATACGAAAGGAAAGTTCTAAAATTTAGAAAGGCTTTCGAAAATATATTTCTAAATAATAGAAAATATTTTTTTAAAAAAGTATAAGTACTTTTTTTTTTAAATATTTCGAATTACATTTTATGAAATTATAAACTATTTTAAAATTTTTTATCTGTATTAGTTATGTGTAAACATATACATTTTTTCTAAATTTTAGAATTAAGGAAGGCAAATATAATTTCTGATTAATAAGGTGAGTTACCCGTGGTAACAACACTTTTATTTTATCTGAATGTAATATAGAATAATTCAAAATAAAAAAGAAATTTATCTTGCAGATCATCTTAGATCTATTGCTAAAATGCAGGGTAATATTTTCTCGAAGTGTAAAATTTAAATATTCAAATGAAAAGAGTTTCAATAACATCAGTATAGATCTGTTTAAGTAGGGTATATGGTAGTCAACATGAGCAGAACCTGTTGTGGCTGCTAGTTTCAGCTTCGGCACACACACCAAGACCTCCATTCGGAAATTAACTCGTTCTCGCCTAGCAACAATCACAAATGACGTATTTGTGTATATATACATACATATGTTCGATCATACATACATCTATTGATTTATTCAATTTGAGACGCACACGTGTCGCTATATTTGTGGGAATGTTCATTACATTTTATACGATCCGTAAATCAAAAAGTTGACGCGAGGCTGGGAGCATGAAATCAAAAAACGCGCAAAACGTGCGATTTGGAACATAAATTGATTGAAATGTGCGCTTTGATTTATAATGGTTTCAAGAGCATAGCATAACATAGCAAAACATAACAAAATAGTAGCAGCATTTGAATTCAGCACGAATCGAGTAAAATTCAATCAAATATGACCCTGAATAAAAGTGTTCTAAAAGGCTGCTTATCGCACAAATGCAAAATGCTTTCATTCTTTCTCCCTCTCTTTCTCTCTCTCTCTCTCTCTCTCTCTCTCTCTCTCTCTCCCTCACTCTTTCCTCCCTCAACCCCCATCCCCAATACATTCTTGGAGTGCAAGAACAATCCTTGAACTCGCCACATTTGTAATTCGCTGCACTTTGCACAAAACTGAAATTAAGTCGCAGCAATATTGAAATGCAATATCAAGTGCAGGCAGGCAAGCAGAAGTAAACAACCCAGCTATGACATACCCTGTACAATAATTATAATTTTTTTTAATCTATCATAGTTTCAGTTTTATATTTAATATATTAATTCTCCTTATGTATAATAATTTTATTTTTTTTTAAGGGTTTCTTTTGCCTATCAAGTTCACATAATGCCGATTAATATACTCATTTACAAAAAAATATTGCCAGTTATTTTGTAAAGTGTCCAATGAGCTCATTAAGCCTAGTTAGCGTTTTTTGCTTGTGGAATATGGTATAGTATGCATACCGTATATATATATATATATACTATATACTGTATAGTTTGAATTGCGCTTCAGCATTTTGAAAACAAATTGTATATTTATTTTTAAGTTCAGAAGCGGCCAGAAGTCAATATTTCTGAACCTGTTATAAGTATTGGTATGTGTATTCGAATAACAAAAGTTATAGTTTTTGTTTACTGCGAAAATCAAATTATGACGATACGAAACCCTCAACATCATAAATGGATAAATCTAAAAAACAATAGAAAATATATTTACATCGCGAACTACATACTTAATTGAATCACTCCCTTTTCCTTTTATAGATTCCAACTTGTATCTCTGATTTTAATTTGAAATGGCACCTAAAATGTTTTGTGTGCTCTGTATTAATTAAATTAATTAAATTACAACATTTTAGAAACATTATAGCTTATCAAGGTAGATTAAGTTCAGTTAATATCTTTGAGACATTTACTCATTGAAAATGTACAATTTAAAATTTACGAGCTGCAATTGTGAATTTACATGTTATTTAATAAATAATAAATTAAAAAGAAAAAGAATTTCAAATCAATTTGGTCTTCTGTTTATATAATAAAATATTTTACATATTTTCTTAAACATTGAAAATATTCTACAGACTTGAAAATAAAAATCATTATTTGGATTGTCAACAAAATGAATTTTGTAAACAAAATATATTTTTGCTTGTCTTTACAATTTTTAATTGTTGTTTCTATTTTTAGATTTTTTTAAAAATTTTTTGGACATATTTGTTTTTATTTTGTCTTAAGCAACTTAACACTGAGCTCTGTCGTCCATACCTTTGCACTTGTGTTGGTTCGTAGATATATGCAATTGAATTATAATCGCAATTGTTTATATATACGTACGTGTGACAAATGTCATGCATATTTAAATAATTTATTTTATTTTTGGGCCGTCCTCTGATGCATTGTTGTACAGCGTACAATGTACATTTAGCGACAGTTACTCACATATCGCACGTCATATTGCTAGTCTGCCTCCCTCCCTCTCCCTTTCCCTATCCCTCTCTCTTTCCCTTTTCTCTGCCTCTCTTTCTCTTGCTCTTTCTTTGTGGATCAGAAGTCAGCACCAGTCCCTTCCCCTCCCCTACCCTACCCGAAGACCCATCCTGAGCAGCGCGCTGTGCTTTGAGTTATTTGCGTCGCAGTCGCCGTCGACGCTCGAGTTTAGCGGCCCTGTCGCGCAATTTCAAGGACGCGTCGCTTTGTTTTGTTATTGTCTGGACTTGTTGTTGTTGTTGTTGTTGTTTTTCTCTCCCGCTCTTTCTCCCGAGCTCTCTCTCGTTCTCTCTCTCTCTCTCTCTGTCGCTTTCCCGCATAAGTAACTTTTGCTGGAGCAGCAGCAGCGATTGCTTTTTAAAACAAACAGCAAAAAGTGCATTGAAATCACAATCAGAATCCGCATCAACCAGTGGAATTTTTAATATGCCTATATTTATATAAATGTATATATATATATATATATATATATATTTATACATATATATTTATATTTTTTTTAAGTACTCGAAATTTGCATTTGTTTTGCTTTTGTAGACGCTTTTTATACTCTGAACCCATTAAAAGTGGGTAAAAAGGGTATAATGTTTTGTGCAAATGTATGCAACAGGCAGAGGAAGCATCTCCGACCCCATAAAGTATATATATTCTTGATTAGGGTCAACTGCCAAGTCGATATAGCCATGTCCGTCTGTATGAACACGCAGATCCCAGAGACTATAAGAGTTAGAGACTTCAAATTTGGAATATAGGTCCTCGTATACCCGGGCCAGATCAAGCATGCTTTATTTTTATCAATAACAGCCTCCGTTTATCCAATATCGATACATTTAAATTTCCGTTAGCAATAAATGCTAAAGTTTTAAAGGTAGAATCTTCTAGATTATACAGAATATACATATGCATATTATTGACCAACTTACCAAATTTCATTAAGATCGGTTAAGAAACACATAAATATAAAAATATATTCTCATATTGATCTCATTTCTATCAGCAGCCGCAAGCATTTTCTGTGTGCATAAAAATGCGAGCGCATGTGTTAGAAAGAGATAGCATGACATTCGAAGCGAGTGTCAATATGTTTTTGTGTGTATTCTGCAGAGCACCGTTACCCCTTTATAAATATGTATATATGTATAATTATTCACGTGTTTGTCGGCAGAGCGCGCTTGCAGACTTGCTTACATTTTGGTGCAAAACTTTGTAGAGGGAAATTTTCCAATAAAACTAGAATATATTTGACAACTGGGTTTAGGGTATATCGTAGTCGAGCTCACTCGACTACAGCACTCTTGTTTCTATATACGTTTTTCGCGTTTCTTTTGCTTTGTTTATTTAGAATTTTAACGCTTTTTCGGGACTTATTTTATGGGCATCTTGATTCAGTTAATCCAGGCGCAAACAAATTAATAAAAAAAATTTACCTTTCAAGGTTGGGCCTGGTGAAATGTGCAGCACCGCCGAGCACATAAATACAATTTCTATTTAAGTAATTAACAAATTAAACTTTGCAAGTGCCGCACTGAATATCAAGCAATTATTCAGCAAATAATAATAATAAGAAAACAGACGAAATCGCGCGCAAAAACATATTTCAAAAGAAAACAGAGACCCAACAAACAAACGAGCAAAACAACAAAACAACAAAACAAACAGATACGGGTTTACGGTCAAGGACGCGAGGTGAAAAACTCTAAAAAGCACATCGATTTGCAAATGCCCTTTCTTTGAGTTACAGTTGCGGACGAAATAAGTGAACCACTCTCACAGGATCTGTTTTTAAAGGTTTTTTTTTCTTTTTAATTTATAAGCTTAAGTTCGTCAATGAAGTGAAAGAAGAGTTTTAAAAATAAGTAAGAAAAAATATATAATTTTTTTCAGTTTAAGTTAAGTTAATTTAAAAATAAATTACAAAATTTCATTTTATAAAAAATGTATTTAATTATGTAAATTATAAGTAAATATCCCATTTATATTAAGTGCCCAGTTTTGCCACTTTTCCTAAATAAAAAATAAATACATAAATATAAGAAAATAATTCCAGGAGCAGTACTAACTTTAATTTATAGTATT